CAAGTCAATTAGGGAATCCTGTAGGGATAATAGAATTAGGCAAAACAAGCCCATTGGAAATGCGTTTCTTAAAAAAAAGAAATAGAAAGAAAAATGGCCTCCTCTGCAGCTCTTTTTGTTTTGAGCATGCACCCAAATCGGCACAGGTTCGCCAATAAGAGATGAAGAACTCCCTAGGGTTTCCCCTCCTTCAGATGGATTGGTGCCTGGGAGTCACTGCATTGTCTGTGTTAGTAATCACCAGGTTTGAATCTATCCAAATCCTTAAGCGTTCAATTCGGAGATTACGTAACGAACCGGGCTCTCCGCTGCACAGACCATTAATAAGGCCAATAAGAGATGAAGAACTCCCTAGGGTTTCCCCTCCTTCAGATGGATTGGTGCCTGGGTGTCACTGCATTGTCTGGGTTAGTAATCACCAGGTTTGAATCTATCCAAATCCTTAAGCGTTCAATTCGGGGATTACGTAACGAACCGGGCTCCCCGCTGCACAGCCCTTTAATCCAGCATGCGGGCTATCAACCAACTGCCCTCTCGCACCAATTGACGGAGGAGGAGTTGAAGCTCGACTTCTAGGTACATCCCGCTTCTGTGGTACCGGTAAAGGAACTAGGTGGCCATCAGCTACTCTGAAGCAGTTCTGACAGTATCCGCACTGTCTCCGGATACCCTTCAACCTCCTGGTTAGACGGAGCTACTATGCTTTTCACCTTTACTCTGCTTTCGCCCAAAATATGTAGTTCCCCTAATGAGTAATACGTATAGCTGGTCAGTCCCACACTCTTTATGTTATTGTACCCCTAATGGGTCAAAGAACACTTGCTTCGCCTTAGACACTGACGTAGACTGCCTACCACTTAGAGGACCGCTGGTTTTTCGGCGTTTGTCGAGGCTCCCATGCGATTATCGGGCGCTATGTAGGTGGTGACGGGTTCTTTCTCCACGCGTACTGTCCCCTCAGGGCTTCCTACGGTTTGCTGCAGTAGACAAAACAGGTACTGGCTCTATACCTCACAATAGAGCACATGCTTTAAGTTTAATAAAATTACTTTACGTTCGTTCTTTGCTTTTTTGCAATTGTATGGTATGTCAGCTAATGGCACAATACTTTTCTCTACTCCTACGCAGAAAAAACAGGAATTCACCTTAAAAAATGCAAGTCGTAGCAATCTTAGTAGAAATCTATACACTATGCTCATCTCCCCCTTACGCCCTATTGTTACGCCATTGCTTCTTTCAATTAAAAAAGATGTAGCTATTCAAAAATTGAATTACCTATCTATCTTGTTGATTCTAATTTTAGATAGCCGATAACTTGGATTTGATTCGAACACATCTAGCATACTCGATATTAATTCTAAATTAATATTCCAGATATAGATATTGATAAATTAATTCTGAAATAAAACTGCCGTTATGTTTAGTAACGTTACCTTATTAGTGCGTCGTCTATTGTTAATGATAATGTGTAGTATTGTACTTGTATTAGCAGCAGGAGCAGCAACAACAAATGAGAGCCGCTAATTTACATTCGTAATTATTACTGGAGCAGTTGTGGCCCATAAAATGCCACTACTACAACTGAATTAGAAAGTGGTAGGTAATGTAAATCTTGAAATGATGATTATGTTGCTGGTAGAAAAGTGCTAAAAGCATTAGATGTAAGTATATTTAAAAGTATAAATATTTGCATATGGATTTATATATTTTTGTAAATGGATGTGTAAACGGATATAGCGGCGCCAAACGGCACAGCTGCCGTTGAATTATCAATGCCAACGCGCTATTGATGGCATAGTATAAAGATTCTATACAGTGGATTCACTTCTCTGCCACGCCCATACATCCCTCTCATCTTTACGCTTCACCACTTCATCCACGAGTTCCCCGCTAAGCAGGATTTGACTAGAGTATCATCGTGAAACCACAGCACAAATACATTCGGTAAAGCTATTGAACCGTCTTCGTATATGGAAGTTGAGCGCTCAAAAAGTTAATTTATAATGGTCTGACGGTATTATTTCAGGCAGATCGAATGAGTGAACCTACTGTATAGAATCTTTGTACTGAGCTGATGGGCTATTCGACAACCAGTAGCGCCGTTTGCATGATTCTTTTTAATTGGAAAGACTATCTGTGACTCGTTATTGTAGATTGGCTAGTGATAGGGATCAGTGATAGTTTCATCAATGTGCAGACGGCCTTCGCAAGCGGGTTTTCAAAAGGAATGGTGGAAAAAATTTGTTGGTGCTGATATATGCAAAAAAACATTTTCATCCCCTTCAGTAGAAACGAAGATAATCACAAAACAAAATTGCAACGTTAAAATGAGATCCCCAATTTGAACCAAAATTGTCATTTTCATATAGGTACAGATGTTAAACTGAATAAACTGCATAGGTACAGCCAACATGAGCATACCGTAATAAGGGTTTACTTTTACTATTTTAGTGCGGAATCCTAAAACGCACGTATACAATTACCTTAGTCACGCAAAAACACTTCAGTTTGGGTAATTAATTGTACATTACTTGTTGATTTTATTTAATTATATATACCTGCGTAAATGTAGATAAAAATGTTCTACAATAATAAAAAATTGTTGTAATAATCATAACGAGCTAAACTCGAGATGATTGAAAAATTGACGGACACTTCACTATGATTATCTATATGTTATTCTACATGTAGTTATTGGCTCTGACCGTGCGTCAACGGTGACGCTGTGACGTCAATCGTCTATAAAAGGACCCGACATTTTATCGTCGTCGTTACATATAATATCGACTGAGTAGGTACTTACTGCTACAGTATTCGTATAACACCTATACGGTACAGCGTAAGATCTTTCTTGTGACGATAAATAATGATGAATCGTGGGCCTTTCTATAGTAAAATGTTACTGACGTTGACTATTTTTATTACTCATTAGAGACAATGGTCGTTGTGAAAGTCAGTTGTTGATACGAAAAACATAAGCACGTTTCATGGAAGCCTGTTATTTTACATAAAAGTCATGTCAAAAACATGTACTTCCTGGTCTATTTTTGAAACCCCGTAAATGTACATACGTACTATTAACACGTATCCGCTATAAAAGGTATTCCAATGTGATAGAGGTAACTAAGAATGGTATGAACTTTGGGCTTGGGTTGCTGTTCAATGACAGCGTACATAATTGATCTTTTTCCTTACATTTATAGCGCAGTCCTTTAGAATTAATAAGTTTCTTTCCATTCCTTTTATTGGTCAATTTGATCACAGCAAAAAAAGATGTCAAAATCTTCTCTTTTGTCAAATGGTATCTCACCAAGGAGCGCGCGACATGACCCAAAGGATTAGATCATTGCTTAGCATTCGGAAGGACACTGCCTTGGTCCAAATTTTTCTGTGGTTTCCTTGGATCACCGGAGGAGTACTGTTCTGCAGAAAATGTTTGACTCTCTTCTGTCTTCATTTCATCCGAATCATCTTTCTGATCCCAACCACTCACGATCCCTAAGCGGAGGCCGAAGAAGACCTTCAGCACTACCACCCAGCGTAGTCCAGAGGAACTGCCCGACCACCAGCATAAGTAGCCTAGTGGGAATAAATCATACAAAAGTTATTTTAGTTTTTTTCCACCAAGGAGAGGGAGTTATTACCTCTGTAAAATCTTAAATTTCACTCAATAGGGTATTTAATTCTAAAAATTCGTACTATACGTAATGACCAATGGTACATAGTCACTTATAACTAATAGAATATGTATATGAATATTGTTATGAAGACGTTATCATAAGTACGGTTTGCCGGTCTTGCTGTTGTCACCTGTCATAGCTTAATGGTCAGAGCAATGGTGCGTAAAGCTAAAGGTCCCGGGTTCGATTCCCGGGTGAGGGTGTGACAATAGCAACAATTTTACTTTAATTAGAGGTAATTTGTAGTGGGAAAATTAAAAATAAATATGAATTTTCATTAATGTTATCATTATACTGTGATACTTTTATTTCATATATGATTTACAACATCCCCCCGCACTCTTTGTTAGTAAAAGTAAGAAAAGATTGGTACATTGAACCCCGTCCCCCCAAAACTTGCTCACGTAATGTCCTCGTGGTAGATTTCTGTACATAATACGTAGGTGGCTGAATACTGCTAACAATAAGTTTAGAACAAAGCTGTGAACGAATAAAGGGCGAGGAAGTACATGCGAACAATTTTAAATCTATTGACCTCACACTGTAGAGTTCACTAGCGAGGTCATCCGTTCATCATTACCTACATGCACACTACACATAACATGTACTTGTATACCTGTTCATGTACTACGTGCAATAGACACATCCACTATATTCTGTATACATAATGTATACATATACAAGGTACATTTTACAATAGTATGGGTCGATAAACCCTTTTCTGAGTGACCATTACACTATATACGTAATATGTGTGCGTTTAAAACACGAAAGCCTTGATTGGATTTTGTAACAGATTGTGAACGCAAGAAAGTTGGATAAAATACAAAAGACTAAATAAGATTCTCTATGACGCACGCGTAACTACGAAAAACGGAACTTATTTTCTCAGAAAACCGTTGAACTCGTCGACAATTGTAATTAAATCAATATGAGAATGTAATATACCTAATTGAAAGGGGTTACGAAGGTGCAGTGACCTTGGGGTCAATCTCTGACGCTCATTACTTGCAATTACGTATTCCTAATCTTATGATTAAGGTCAAGTACTTGTCCGTGTGCAGTTTAGTGACAATTTGGTTCATCACATCTGACATTAATAACGCATTTCGGTATAATGTGACGAGAAAAAATGAAGAAATTATTTTCCGTTTGTGTCGTAGAAGTGAAAACATTTTTTTTTGTGTTTTTACCATTATAAATTATGAATTATTTTACGGCTACGCTAAAATTAGGAATAACGTTGTTTTGCAATTAATTTAAAATAAATTAATTATAATTTACCTTATTAAATAGTCATTTTTGTTTTTTATTTTACAGGTAGCAATTAAGATAATAGACAAAACGCAGCTTGATGCTGGAAATTTACAAAAAGTCTATAGAGAAGTAGACATAATGAAAAGACTGGATCACCCTCACATAATTAAGTTATATCAGGTAAGTCTCTAATTCTTCATCGTTTTAATTACCTTTACTACAATTACGTCAGTATAGTGTTCTTATTTAGAAATTCACAGACTTGCATATTACGCAAGTATCTCAGACGTATTGGAAATACCAAACACAGCTTCTGGAATTCTAAGTTGTTTAAAAAAGTGATTTTTGCTACTTCATTACTATATTATTACCATTATGATTTGTATCATCGTTTGTAATTAGTGGGTAAATCAGGAAAAAACCCATCCAATACAATGAACTTGTGTATAGTTGGGACATTCAAAATTGGTGTAGCCCGCAATAAAACTGAGAAAAGAGATGTCAAATATAAATTGCAGCGGATACTAATAAAGAGAGGCAGAATTTGAGCATGTTGCCAGCATAGGATACTTTAAATAAAGTTCAACATTCTCATGAATTTAGGAAAGCAAAGGCGCAAGGTTTAAAGATATAATTCCAACTCCTAGCCGACTCTGATCTTTTGCGTACCTAAATAACCTCTAACTGCTGCATCGCTTACTGCTATTCGGTATCTCTTTTTACTCTGTCTACATTACTCGTGAAGCATTTTCTCAAATGGAAACAAGAAAAAACATACGTTTATTATGACAGATATTTTATTGCGGACTTTGCCAATTTTGATTGTCCGAACTATATAGTATTTGTGATTATGTGAAACTGCCAGAGAAAATAATTTTAAATAGTTGAATAGGTTTAGACAAAAGACTTCTGAGCATCCTCAACTATGCTATGTCACAGGGATGAAATTGGTTATAAGAAGGAACGAGATCTTCGTACCCGAAATAAAATTTCTTAAAATCAAATTCGACTCCCAGAAGTAATTTTTCAGAACTCAATTTGAGTGTATACGCAGAATAGTTATCCGAAATATAATCATTCATTAGTAAGTCGCTTTTTGCGTATATTTACCACATGAATCGTTAGTTCTATAATTTCGCGATTCATTAACGGGTCGATAAAGTGTAAAGTAATGCGATTCGGCGTTGAAATTTCAAAAGGCAGCTTTCGAGCATTCATGCTGCTAAGTAGTACGTCATATTGACAGGTAAAAGTCTTTTTTCAGGAATTTCCATTAATTAAACTAATGACATACAACAAACGTAACAGAAGTTAAACGAGCTCAGGTTGCAGCATCATTAGACGGAACGCATCGACATTATTCAATCATCTAATATTCATCCTTTATGTATTTATTTGCAATCTAATAAAAGGCCTAGCAATCTCTGACTGTCGACTCCAATAGACCGTCAGATCTGTCACTGCACGATTTTGTTTTCCATATTTTGGCCCACGTTGTATTTTCAGTACTAAAATTTGAATGACATTTAGTTTCTGTTCTTTATTTTCTACTCCTGGATTTTATTCGCGTGAGGTAGCTTTCCCTGTACATTATCAAGTAAGAATGAGTTGGTAGTCCTATTGCGCGGGAAGTGTTTGTTTGACGGTACAGTAAAAGTTCCTTATTCACGGTTTTCTTATTAACGTTTTCATTATTCGCGGGCGAAAAAATTGCAACCCAGTTCCTGTATTCGTGGTTAAAAATTTCATTATTCGCGGTTGCAATCGGTGAAAAGAAAAGTATTCGGTGTCATTTATTAAGGGTATTGACCGCAATAGACCGCTAGTGCCTAGTATGAATTTTTCGGAAAACATGGGTTTCTATTCTAAACATTGTAATTTAACGCTGCGAGATAAATATCTAATTTTTTGTATGGTTAACAGACAAAGGTTCACACTAACTCAATACGTTTTTGGTTTCCAATAATATGGTCATTAAAACCTTTTACAAGTGCTTAAAGTTGATGTTTCTTGTAGGACACGTATTTTCAATAGCAATTACAAAATTAAGAAATGCTCTTCGACAAGCTTTAGAACAAAGCTGTTTCTATCTTATTACAAAATTTCAAACCTGTGTTTTAAATATTAAACTCATGATATCTAGAACCGATAAGCATGTTTTTACTTTATGGCGCGTGTCCCACTGAATCACCTTAATGTATCGGCATCTTTTGAATAGAAAAGGATTCCGTGTTATTTTTCAACGTATCAGCATCTTTTGAGTACTATTGACTCGTGCGGAGGCGACTTTTGTAAAAGATGTAACCGATTCAATCAAATCAAAATTCAAAACAAGAAAATTCATTAAATTTTTTAAATTCTTGCCTAAAGCTGATTATAACGATTACTTTTAATTGCGAATTTATCAATACATTGATTTTATTTCGATACATATTGGTTTTATTTTGGAACCTTAGAACGTATCCCTAATGATTCCATACTAATTACCATTCCATATCCACGGTTTCTGTATTCGCGGCATATTTATGCATATGGATGGTATACGTTACCCCTTTTACTGTATTGAAATTGACTTTGACTATAAAGCCATTTCGTTTCGACTTCTTAGACTCTCTTAATTTGTTTGAAACTCAAATTTATGTAGTGACTTTCCAATTATACAGACAAAAACTTGTTTAACAATAACACTAGGTACATAATCATAATAAGCAGCTTAATAATCATTCCAATTTAATTTAATTAAATCTCCATTTATTAAATGAATATACTTATTATATTTTTTGATTGAAGATACTAAAAAGTAGATTGCAAACAGGAAATTAACGAGGATACATAAGTACCATTACATATGCAGGCATATTCAGTTTAGCTACCCAATTAGTTCAATTAAAATGTCGGGCTGTAGGCTAGCAGTGGCAATTTAGTTTTGAAATCAAAATACATGTATAAGCGGAAGTTCGAATAGGTGCTTACTATAAAATAACAAGTGGATATTAACTAACCAAATTGTCCTTCCATTGACGTCACAGTCGAATTGTGCTTGCTCATGTCAGTGTAACAATTGCGTATTGTTGGAGCAATAAGTAATACTACCTACATACATATTAATAAACGGTTGCGTGTCATTCACTAATTGAGTTGTAGTTGTAGGTACACAAAGTTTTATATTTACTTATGTCATGCTACTAGATATACCTATGATTTGGAACGGAGTTTTTGTAAGCACATCAATATCCTAGTATAATCCATGTAATGGTAATTTTGGATGGAAAGTTACAGTTGTTATATTTTAATATAATTTAATGTAGTAACTCTCTATACCTAATGTTGACATTTAAACACACTCAATACGTCAAAAGAGTGGTGATTTGAATTTATCACCGCAAATATTTCTTTAGTGAAGTTCCAAGTCGAAAAATTACCTCAAAAAGTTGCAGAGTTCTTGTATGATTCTGTACTCTGAGAGAAGATATGGTGCCCTAGTGAAGCTCTGTGATGTCCATTCTTTTTTTGTGTTTTTAAAAGGAATCGGATTCTACGAAAAAAATACGACTGTTTAAAAGGAATGTAGGAAAAATACGCCGAAAAAAATCAATTAATTTATTTATTCTAACGTTGTCATATGATTTAAAAACAATCAACACTTCATGTTATGGTCTTTCTTCTAAAAGATGAGAAATAAGATTTTGCTAAGTTTCTATAAGCTTCCGTTATAAAAATACGGAACCAGACGCTGAAGCGGATGTGAAAATGTATGCGGAACTTCCGTAATTGCGGAAGCGAAAGCAGAGGTCTGTTGCAGCACTAATATACTCCATACACAAAGCCCGAAGGGTTTCTTGCAGTTTCTTTTTTGGGGGCTTTTTTCCGGAGGACTTTTTTCCAATGACCATTCAAAAGATCTCTAAGTCTTACTTGGGTCCCACAGAAAGACATTTCTTTAATCATCATCATCATCATTATCATAAAGTCGTCAGTCCTAAGACTGATTCGACACGCACCTGCACTCTTTCCTATCCTCAGCTAATCTTCACGTTTCCCTAAAACTAGAACAACCCATATCCTTATTTGCGAACAGTAATCTAATCTAGGTCTACCCCTATCTTCCATTTCTGTCTCTAGTATGTCTCTGACTAGACCTTCATGTCCTACTAACCTATTTCGCCTATTTCTTATTGATTTTCATAGAGTCCACTGTTCTCCTTTTTTTTCTAATACGTCTTCATTTCTAACCTTTACATCCACGGTATCCTCATCATTCGTCTGTAACACCACATTGCGAATGCTTCTAACCTTTTTTTTTCCGCCGCGCCCACTGTTCATGTTTCGCACCCGTACAGCGTCGGGCTCCAAACCTTTAACAACCTTTTTAGAATTTCTAAATTAACCGTTCACGAGCATAGATGTGACTTCTTTTTACTGGGCGACTCGACCCTGCGCTATCCTCTGCTTTTTATCCCTACTACCTATTTCGTCCTGACTTATTTGACTTCTTAGATACCTACAATCGGTCACTTCTCAGTTTTCGTCTCGTATCTTTATATTCGCTATTTCCCTACTTTTTCTTCCCTTGCATATCTGTATTTTTGTTTTACTTTTATTTATTTTCATACAGTAGTTTTGTCAGTACCGCTTCCATTTTATTTAAAGATATCTCTAACTCCTCTTGCTAATACTGCTATATCATCTACAAATCTAAGCATACTAATCTTTTGGTTGTTTGTCGGTTAAACTGTCTTTAATGATCTTGATCGCGTCTTCAATGTATAATAATACCCCAACTTAAATAGACGACAAAATTAATGAACAGTTATTTTGTTAATAAAATCTATTTTATGAACAATGGAAAAGTAACCACATTACTGGCTATAATGTGTTAGATCATTAAATTTGGAGGACATGAACTGATTTACGAATTACATAAAATTTACGAAATAATAGTTATGTCACAAACATTCGGATAAATCGTCGTTCAGGTAATTGCGCTTCAATATGATTGGCCTGTCACATTTCTGCAGACCATAATGTCCGAACGTGTGTAGTGACGCTATATGAATCGATTGATGGTAAAGGTAACTGAATCTGACGGTTGTCTTCTTCGTCAACCTGCTCGAACGTTACGGTAATTTAATTATGATCGGTAATTAACTTGATGAGCGTAAATGATCATGAGTTAATGT